GTGGGGCGGAGAGTTAGCTGAAATGCCTGAAAGATTTGCAAGGGATAAATTTATGTTCACTGATTTATAGGGAAAGGGATTTGGTCCAGGTCAAGTTGCTAGTGGATGTGGAATTTACTGTTTAACCTGTTAGTTAATGCAGAAAATTCTGGAAAGTGGGAACCTTAACATGCTGGGTTGAATAATCTGTGTGCTGTAAATTGATAGACAATTCTACAAGTGAACCCTATTTTGAAGCTGGGGGAATGAGGTGTTAACAAAACAGTGGACTAAGCTGAGCTTGGAGCAAATCAAGTTTTAAAAATCACAGGAAGTATGGAGGAACCAGCCAAGTCTGAGCTAAAAGACACATTTCGGCTGATTTTTGAGATAAAACAGTGGGCAAGTAATGAGAAGTGAACTGTAGGAGCCAAATGAATAATGAACATATGGGATAGCAGAGTTTCTCCAGGCCAAGGGAGATGGAGATCAAAATGGGCCAAAATGGGCATGGGATGGTGATTCACCAATCCCTTCAGGTGGGAAACTGTGTGGCGAGATACTGACCCTGCAATAACCACCACAACCTGAAAATGCAGTCTTTTTTTTTTTTGGGAAAAACTTGTTCCTTGTATTGATGCAAACACAGCTATTAAATCAAAAACATCTATTAAATCAGGCAACTTCTCTATTGTAATACTTATTAGTAAGAGACTAGAACTACCTACATGTATACTCATCAGATCTACTAATACTCAACTAATAACGAACTATATATTGTGATTGATTTAACAAATAATATGATGTGACATTAACATTCTGCCATTGCTGTCTGTAAGTATTGCAAATACTGTATTCAGAGGTGACATTTTTTTGCTTGGATCTTCATGGTAACAGCACTGACCAAAACTGGAATTATCGTAGTTGCTAAAATTAGATATTCCACTCTCAGATTTTAAAGATTAAATAGATGTTTAGCCTGTAGAAACTATTATGATAATTGAACTGAGTTCAATTTGTTTGGGAAGAGGTATATCTTTCTCTTGGCTTTTACTTTGGCTTGATTTTCAATGTCTAACTTGTGACAGCAGTATGCAAACAAAATATGAATTACTTTTTGTTATTCCTTTTTGTACAATGTTATCCAAGCTGCCAAGTGAATGTCCTTCTCTTCAAATGTTACTATAAGATCTTTAACACTTAGCTGAAACAGTGGCTAGTATTTACTTTTTCGTGGCTTGTCAAGCAATACCACTTTGTTAAGGTAACAGTGAATCATGACTATTATAACCTTGGATTAAGGGCTTCAATCTAAACCTTTTAAACTGGAGAAGGGAATAGTACCAATTGAACCAAGTTTACACGCTGGAAAGTGTATCTTATATGCAGTGGTGGTGTCCTTTCATCTGAGCCTGAAAGCCTTGTTCAAGTTCAGAAGTCACACAACTCCAGGTTTATTTGAAATCACAAGCTTTCCAAGTGCTGCTCCTTCGTCAGGTGGAATGAAGAGAAGCACACAGGCATGTCATTTATAGGCAGAGATATCAAAAGAGTGTACGAATGGTCAGAGTGGAGTGTTGACAGACTGAATAATTTTCTGCGGGTGATCAAAAGTGTCAGGTGGTGAGAGTAAAGTGTCAACAGCCAAACAGCAGGTGAAGGGATGACCTATAATCCAATTAATTGAGACAGAGATACTTAGAAAAAAATAAAAATAAGGTAGCTGGAAACCAACCAAGTGGCTGAATTAACGTGATAGGTGTAAAAGCCACATACCGAGGATCTAACCAAAGTAACAAGTAATCCACAACTGTACAAACTAATTAAGGTAGCAAGATCATAACAAGTTATCAAGGTGATGTCAAAACAGAACAGTAAGGAAGGTTTTACAGATACAGAACAGTATAGTGGAGTTACGTGCAGGCCGTCTTCATGGGTACGGAACTTGGCTATCAGTTTCTGCTCCGTGATTGTGCATTGTTGTGATCTTGGAGGACGCTTACTCGAGATCGGAGTCTGAATATCCTTCAGAGTATCCTATGAAGTCTCATCCACGTATGTCTTGCATAGGAGGTTTCTGCTGCCTTCTGAAGATGCACAAAGCCAACGTACATGGATCAAATGTTGGCCTATTGGAGTGTAGATGTGGTCCCCATGGCTGTTCCGTATCTGGATGAAGAGCTAGTTGTCAAAGATGAAGATGTTATAGTTGAGGACGAAGTAGATGAGTTGTATGATGGCATCTGGAAACTGGCAGTTGGTGGTGTTGAGTACTGAGGCTGTTGCAGCGAGGCTGCTGTCGTGGGGGACGCTGGTATAGACTGCCAAAACGTCCATTGTGATGAGCTATGTTCCTGGTTCGACTGGTCTGCGGGTACTGAATTTCTTTTAGAAGTCTGTAATGTTGCGACAGAAGCTAGCAATTCGTTGTATAATGGGTTTCAAAATGCCCTCGACGTAAACAGAGAGGTTCTTGCACAGGGTCCCATTGCCTGTTACGATGGGATGTCCGGGTGTGTTGGCGTTGTGTACCTTCCTCCTATGCAAGAAGTGCACTGTCGTCCGTGTACAGGATACTTTGAAGGACATTTCAGCCTCCGATCCTTGAGTAAGTGTCCTCCAAGGACACAACAATGCACGATTGCTGAGCAGAAACTGATAGCCAAGTTCCGTACCCATGAAGACGGCCTCAACCGTGATCTTGAGTTCATGCCGTGCTACATGTAACCCCACCATCCTGCTCTGTATCTGTAATACCTTCCTTACTGTCCTGTTTTGACACCATCACCTTGATAACTTGTAATGATCTCTCTACCTTAATTAGGTTGTACAGTTGTGGATTACTCGTTACTTTGGTTAGGCCCTCGGCATGCGTCTCTTATGCCTGTGATGTTATTCTAGGCATTTGGTTTGTTCCCAGCACTCCTTTTTAAATTTTTTGTAACTATCTCTCTGCCTCAATTAATCTGATTATAGGTCATCCCTTCAGCAGTTGACACTTTACTCACACCATCTGACACTTTTGATCACCTGCAGAGACTTATTATTCAGCCTGTCAACACTCCACTCACGTCATTTGTATGATCTTTTGATCTCTCTACCTGTAAATTGTGCCTGTGTGCTTCTCTTCACTCCACCTATGAAGGAGCAATGTTTGGAAAGCTTGTGATTTCACATAAACCTGTTAGACTATGACCTGGTGTGGGTGACTTCTGACTGTGTCCACACCAGTCTAACACTGGCACTGTAGAGGGATGTCATTACATGCCTGAATAGACTGGTTTAAAAAATAAGCAAAGGATTCTTGTGACGCAATGAAAGTATCCCTGCGCCTGGGCCAGAAGGTCTGAGTTGAATTCCTATGTGCTCCAAAGGTGTATAATAACATCTCTGAACTGATGGATTAGAAAACGCCTACACTTTATTAGAGAAATTTTGGTGATTCAGTGGTAGTGTTCCTGCCTTTGGACCAGAACGTTCAGGTATAACCCCACCTACTCTGGACATATGTCATTAGCACTTCTGAGCAGGTTGATTTAAAATAACTACATTCTGGAAAGGAAAACTATGGTCTTTAGTTTCACTGGAACAATAGTGATCAATCCTGTCTTTCATAGAAAGCATGTAACATGCAGTTAAATGTATAAAAGTAAGGTGAGAACTTCAGAAGATTTTGCACAGTACAGAATCTCTGGTCTGTCTGAGTTGTAGTTATTTTAATTGACTTGTTTGGACACGCTATGACATACATCCACGAGGGGTAGGACTTGAATGCCTTCTGGCCAAAAGAAAGGGCACCTACCAGTGCACCACAAGAGCCCTTTACAAATTCAGATTTCACCATCTGCCATGCTGGGGTTTGAACACAATCCCAAGCATTATCCTGCAGCTCTGGATTACTATTTCAGTGAAAATGCCACAACACCATTTCCCTTTTCTAGTTGAGTTGTAATCTTAATTTATTTTCTCATTGACTGGAGTGCATGCTTTATCACACATAAGGTACCTCCTACAGTTGAGTTGGTATAAAAGCACTTACTCATGCAACAACTTTGAATATTGAATAAAATTAAATATTGCACTGTTAATTTCTGAGGTTTCTGGTCATTACATTAAATGCTTTTTACCTGCAAGTGATTACGAAAGAAAAAACTCTTGTCTGGTAATATTGGTCATGTTTCATGGCTAAATATTGCATTGGGTATCAAATACATGAAAGGTTACTTGTGGATGTTTGAGATTTAGGGTGAACTTTGGGAGTGTTTCAGTGAGTTTGTTTGGACCTTGATTTTACAGCTCAGCAACATGACGGCTGGAGACTATGGGCCCTGCCTTTTTATAGCATTAGTGTTTTCATGTGTCAGTAATCAGCATTCTTTTTTGCTGGAACTTGTGAAGTTAGGTTATATTCCTGCATTATGTGGAAAATGTACATCATTTGAAGAAGGAAAAGTGATACAATTTGTAACATCTAGTCATTTAATTTGACCTGTGCATTACAAACTGTGGCTTCTATTTTGAGAGGTTTAGTTCACTGAGTTGTCCTGCTGCTTTTTGAAATTGTTTGAGATAGTTGTTCCATATACAGGTGTTAGTGGCATTTCCTGCTGGAAGTACCAATTTCCAAAGTGCTCTAAGTGATTCCAGTCATATTCTTTTTCTCAGACTTATTGACTGTTTGTACGTGAAACATAGCTTTACATGTAAAAGGATTTTTTAAACTAAAGCACAGTCTGTTTAGATGACACCAGTAATAGTGTGATTGTCATGGTTGGTAACAACACTAGTATAAAAGCGAGAGCGTGAAATGACACGCCATCGTGATTTTATTCGGGAGAATGCAATACAAAGGGGAAGGCCTAACATTAAGGAGGCAGTATTAGTCTCCATGAAGAATCTATAGTGACAGCATTCCAGTCATCAACAAACATTTGTAGATGTGAAAATAATGTAATCACCTTAACCTGTTTTGAGCAATAATTTAAGCATCATCTTGCTTTGTTATTCCCTTGTTCTTTTAGGGTATGAAAGTCTTGGTGGATGCAAGGAATAAGCTGAGCATTCCCTGGGAAAACACTGAAAATGAAAAGCATGGAATGTTTGTCATGGCATTTGAAAACAAATGTGGCATGCCAGTGGAGCCAGCCACATTTCAACTATATGTGCCAGCACTTAGAGCACTCTGGCAAGATTCAGGAATCCAGGAAGCATACGACAGAAGGCGAGAGTTTCAGCTGGTAAGTGAGCATTCCTAACAGGATTTAAGAATGAAGGGAAAATGCATTGATGCATCTGGGAGAGAAGCTTATTGCAAAAGATAACTAATCTCTACACAATTTGTACATGCCAACATGCAGTAAGCCTAAAGTGTTTTTTACACTGTTACCGCTAATAACCAAGCTATTTATCAGTTCAAGGACTACTTGTCATTTGATGAATTTGGTGTTCATACTAAAATGTCAATACTTTATTTGTTTGTGCCTTACTATTTTTTTATGCATCCATTTCCTACTATGATACCACTGTGAAGTTTTGACAATAGCTGCTTCTTTTAAAATGGATTATTAGCCTGCTGATTCCTTTGATTCCAACTGCATAGTTTTCCTGAAGGAGACCGCTAGCATTTTCTAAAGTCACCTCCTGAGAGAACCTGGCAAATAATGGGTTTTCGCAGCAACGTTTGTTAGCAAACTCTGGAATTATTGCTGGTGATGCATGACTTGTGACAGGGGCCAATACCATTATCTAACAGCCAATCAAAATAAAAGCAGCTAAAGACTTAAGAAATGTACCTTATTTTTAAAAAGAATCCAATCGCACCTTCATGATATTTGGCAGTGTAAAAGGTATGATTCTAAATAAAATGTAATTTTTATGCCTGTTTTCACTTGTTGTCACTGCTCAGTTACTCGATTAGTGGCATTGGTTAAATATTGCATTGCTGTCCATTTGACTAGTTGTATTTAAACAATTGCTTTAAAGTGTAATAGGATCTAAGTTCTATTTAACAAATTTCTTTTAAGTTGCTTTGAATTTAAAGTGTTGCCAGTATTAAAGGAATAAATAAACTGAAGCACTACATGGTGCCAGGGTATAAATATTCGGTCTTCATCTTGTAGAATGTTGGATTCCAGACAAAGGGTCCAAGTTAGATTCCAACTATTCACTGATCCTTGCACTGAGCCTTCTCTATTAATACATTTGGAGGGAAGGGAAACTGTCTAGACGAAGCAGCAACCCACACAGAGGATGCCTCCTTGTTACTTGTCTTAAGTTGAGGCATTGATCGGTTATAGGGATTTCTGCCAGCAGTACTAAAGCAAAAGGGAGACTGTTGACTTAAACCTCAGTGCAGTGGGATTCTGACCAGGGAGCATCTTTGTGTGTGGCTTAGTACCACAGGACACAGTGAACTCATGCCCTAAGTTTTGCAAGAACCATTTGTCCTGCATAAAATTATATATTTTTCAAAATGTAGTGAAAAGTAATAGTTTATTAGTGTGACACAAGTAAAATTGGTTGGACGATATTTCTGGCGCACATCTTTGGACTTGTATGCATATGGCATCATGTAATCAACACTTTTTTTTTGCATACTTGTAATGAAAGCTAATATACTGGAGGATAAGAAAACTAATAAAGTAGAAATGAGAAAACAAGCGTCAAGTGTGTCTATAACCCAAAACAGATACAATAAATTTTAATGTCATGCAATAGACAAGTAGCTTTTTTTCGGGAGTGTTTTGAACAACGATTTTGCAATACCAAATATTCGTACTTCCAGGGCAAGTTTTCAGTAATATATTCTGAACATTTCTCCAGTATTAAAAGTGCGGTATGCTTTTTTTGCAGTTGTTTCATTGAATATATTGATGTTTATGACATGTGGTTCTTTCTAATTCTGAATCAGTTAGTGGGAGAGGGGTAAGCACTAGAAAATTTTGGCATTATTAAAATTTAGTTTTAAAGATGCAGATCTGGCTGGTATGTTATTTTGCTCTAGAAAACCAAGACACACACCTTTAATTTAGACCAACAATTTGTTTGTCTTGACAATTTACATGCGAACATTAGAACTAGGAGCAGGAGAAGGAAGTGAAGCTTGAAGGGTCAACATATGACCAATCTTAAAGCATCTTTTCTGTAGCATATAGCTGCTGTAGTTAAAGCTGATGAAAAAACTACCCCAAACATTTTCTTAAATTGCTATATCAATAGGACTATTAAAAGCATAAAGGAATACCTATGTTATAGACAAAGCTATCAGCTTTCCACCTGTATAGCATCGCTACTCTTGTTTCCACTGAAACCTTGATCCATTCTTTATCATCCCTAGACAGTTAGTCCAAAGCCCTCCCAGTCCCTCCACAAACCCCTACTGTGCAAAGCACAGCAATCTGTATCCTGTCTGTACTAAATCCAGTTCAACCAATCTTAAATTACCACCGGTCTCTTTTCCACAGTGCAATGAAATAAACTACTCATTCTTAGCTTTTTACTTATGGCTTTGCTACACTAATCTCTATAACATCCTCCAACTTTTGCATTACTTAGGAAGGCTCTCCTTTTTTTTTCCAGCATAAGTATCTCCCTTTCTTTTCCCACCAATAGTGCATCCTTTCCTGGCATTATCTTCATTCTTTCCCTTGTGATCTCTACATGTGTGCAGGCTCTACTTCTTTAAAGGACTTGCTAAAAGATTTTTAGCAACTAAGTTGTGATCATTCCTTACTAAACTTTCCCATCCTTGCTCTTATTACTTTCCCTGTCCACATTTTAATGAAGTCACTTGTGCCACTTTTTTTCTTGTTAAAGTCACTATATAAATGCAAACTTATTTGTTTTTAATTTGCTGTTGAAGTTATCTGCATTCAAGTTAAATAAACATTTTTACTGTTGGGTGTTGATACATTGTTCATCTAATTATTTAGATAAAATTATACATCTGGCACTTACACCCACACACACATTTGTGGTATCACAAATCATTTTATCCTAGTGTGTCAGTGGTTTGTTTGCATGAAGCTTTTTTCCAATCCCACAAAAGCAAGTTAACTTTAGAAGTGCTATTACATGTGTGACCTCCGTGGATACTTATGGGTTGTTGTACTGTATATGTGGGTAGTTGGGTGAGGGGTAGGGGTGTAGAAGGAGGAGCATTAAAAGTTCAGATATTTTTGATCAAAGGTGTAAAAATTCTGAATGTCATGGCTAAATCACTGAAATTTCCAGCGGATTCTCACAACCAACATTGGATAGGAAGTACTCAGCCACATCAATTCCACCTAGCTCCTCTACACTGATTAGCAATGGTTAGATTCCAGTATGACCTTGCTTGTCTCCGTGTTGAACAAGCTCCTCCTGGGGTGGACTAGACTATTTGATTCATTATGTCTTCAGACTTGGTGTTTCCATCTCCAGTGAGGGCCCACACTCGGCTGCCAGCAGTTGGCAAGTACTTCACTTCTCAAGGTGTAAGACCCGCCAAGTGCAGATTATGCTGTCCCCCTTTTTTTGAAGACGCATTGCTGCAGGTGACAACCTCCCTGCCATCACCACCCCTCGGCTCAAAATCGTTTGGAAGAGGTTGGGCTGTCCGCAGCCCTTTGACCCACATGAGCAGTCTGAAAGAGCAGGCTGGTACCTAAATGATACAGACATGCATTTTCTAGGACAAACTTGCTAGTATGTCCATGGATCATATAACACAAAGTTGGACTTGGGATTGAAAATACAGCAGGTGGGGTAAGCATCCATTGAGATTTTCTTTTTCATTTAACATTTTATTTTGTAGAGATGCAGTTTCCAAAAAATGTTAAAATTTGGAATTAAATCCACTGTTCGACAATTTTTCTCACTAATTCTAAACCATGTGCATAAAACAAATTGAGAGTCACTATTCTAGAGTTTTGTTTTCTCTGCAGAAACTCTGTAGAGTTGAAAAGGGGGAACAAAGTCCCACATAAGAGATTAATGTGCAAAATTAAAGCACATGGGATTGGGGGAAGTCTGTTCCAGATGGATAGGAAACTGGTTTGCAGAGAGGAAACAAAGAGTAGGAATTAATGGATCCTTTTCAAATTGGCAGGCAGTAATTAGTGGGGTGCCACAGGGATCAGTGCTGGGACTCCAGCTATTCACAATAAATATTAATGATATGGATGAGGGAACAAAATGTAACATCTCCAAGTTTGCAGATGATACCAAATTAGGTGGAAGGGTAAACTTTGATGCGAATGCAGAGATCCTTCAGCATGATCTCGACAGGTTGGGTGAGTGGGCAAATCAATGGCGGATGCAGTATAATTTGGATAAATGTGAGGTTATTCAATTTGGAAGCAAAAACAAGAAGGCAGGTTACTACCTGAAAGGCTGGCTGTAAATTGGGAGAGGGGAGTGTGCAGTGGGACCTGGACGTCCTTGTGCACCAGTTGCTGAACATAAGCATGTAGGTGCAGAGGCTATCAAGAACTGTATGTTGGCCTTCATTGCGAGAGGTTTTGAGTACAGGAGCAGGGATGTGTTGTTGCAATTGTACAGGGCCTTGGTGAGACCACACCTAGAATATTGTGTGCAGTTTTGGCCTCCTTTTCTGAGGAGCGATGCTCTTGCTCTCGAGGGAGTGCAGCAAAAGTTTATCAGGCTGATTCTGAGGATGGCAGGTCTGACGAATGAGGAGAGATTGACTAGGTTGGGATTGTTTTCGCTAGAGTTCAGATGAATGAGGGGGAATCTCCGGGGTTTATAATGTTCTTAACAGGACTGGACAGGCTAGACTCAGGGAGGATGTTCTTGATGGTGGGTGTATCCAGAACCAGGGGTCACAGTATGAGGTTTCAGTGTAGACCGTTTAGGACGGAGATGAGATATTCCTTCACCAAAGAATGGTGAGCCTGTGGAATTCATTATCACAGGAAGTAGTTGATGCCAGAACATTGAATGTATTCAAGAGATGACTAGATATAGCACTTGGGCAAATGGGATCAAAGGTTATGGGGAGAAAGTAGGGTTAGGCTACCAAGTTGGAAGGTCAGCCATGATCATGAAGAACAGCAAAGCAGGCTCAAAGGGCTGAATGGCCTCCTCCTGCTCCTATCTTCTCTGTTTCTATGTGAGAAATATGGGTTCAAGATTTGATTATGTCCTTAATGCTGAAATTGATTGGACAAACAGTGTCCTTTAAGACTAGGGGGTATGGAGCACCTGCAAGCAGTTGAAGTAAATATGCAAGTGCAAC